ACTGAGAATGTTCTAGAACCGTACTGTGTCTGGATGGAATATTCTAGATTTTGTTTAGAAACTGGTTGAATAGGTAATAGAACACTGTAGAAGGCAATAGAAGGTAATGGAACATTCTAGAATTTGTAGTAAGTTCCAGACTCATTATGTATGCTGATGTAATGGTCTATTTATAGACAGTGGGGGTATATATAGGGGAGTTGTTCAGCACTGAGTTCAGATCGGAGATCTCGTTGAATTGTATTGGAGTTTAAGTATCTAGTTATTGGAGTAGTGGAGTTTTACCGCGTTATTGTAATTGATGTTTGCAGAGTATAATAATACCAGTATCAGTTGAAATCTCATCTGTTGGCTCCGTGTTCGTATGTTATCATCGCCGCCAGGGAAGTCTTTCTGTTACTGTTGCCATTTTGGTATTTGAACCATCACACCTGTACTATACCAATTACGGTAATATTACGTTGCGTGTGACACACATGCTCACGCACATTTGGGCCGAATGCCCCTTGTCATGGCCAAACATCGTTCATTTCAATAAAACGGACGAATCAGCCAGATCGCTTACCACAAAGAATGAACTCATTTAGTGGAACACACGTGTGTGTGCTAACTTAATTTAATCTGTCTGAACAGTTTATCATGTCCCTGCGAGTCATTCACCCTGTTTTCTTTCATCTGAATGAAAAAATGTATTTAACAACATACCTGTACTAACTCATCAACGAGGTATGAGTACAATGTTTGTTAGTTAGTACACAGTATCGTGTCCGACAAATCTATAATTACTAGAAAGAACTAGTACAAACTTATTGTGTTACTAGAAAGAACTAGTACAAACTTATTGTATTACTAGAAAGAACTAGTACAAACTTATTAAAAGTGTGTTACAGTAATATAGTAACACCAAAATGCTCCGTCATAAAGAATCACGTAGTTGAAGGCGTGAAAAAGCGACAAAAGCCTCGGCTGCTTGATCACTAAGGGTGGCCGATATACCTGGCTCCAGACTCCTGTTATTCTTCATTATTTATGAACATTAGAAAAACAAATATATGTACATGTTTTGGAAGATATTTCTGCAAGTTAACGTTGACGTGTATTATGATGTATTTGACAAAAAACAAAATCGATACATGAGCAAAAGGCAAGATTACCAGCAGTAGGTCATCTTTGACGAATAGTCAAATTTAATCAAATCACAGAACGAATTGACATAGACATGTATTCATTTATGACACGTGTCATCAGCGATAGCATGGTCTAAAACGAAAATAGCTGCCAATCGGCCATATTTTATCTGGATATAACACAAACCATTGTATTCAGTACACCGCTGATCCAGTGCAGAAGTTGTTGTTTAAAAAGTAAGGGAAAAGGTTTCAAGTGCTAGCTTTTATTTTGATTATAGTCCAGTTTAGCAAGTAGAATTGTTCTATGAGCATATAGAGTATACATGCCAAAGGCGTCTTGGTACAATCTAAATAGTTAGTACAAGTTACAGAAATTACAAACGGCATTTTACGATTTTACAGGAAATAATGAAAGTTCCATTTATAAAATTACGATAATAAAAACAATTATTACAGCTCACGAAAATACCCCTTGCCGACCATCTATTAACTAAGTTGGTCTAAGTTCAATTTATATATAGTTGTGATATTAGAGTAGGATATTGTGTATAATATTGTGTATTTTGGAAATGTATTTGTGGACATCTTGAAGATGCAGACAATCCATGAGCAACATTGCATATTTTACAGATGAAGTGGTCTTTGGTGTAGATAACTGGATGAAATTATTATAACGTCATTGGCACAGGTCGGATCGGACGACCTGATATTTTCATTCATAGGTTTGAATAAGCAATAGAATCGATTAGTTGATTTATCAATTGTTTATATCCTCTTCCACTATGTAATTCCAATTTAGTATTCAGATATATTTAATATTAGTTTCATCATGTTGTTTAATTTTTCTATAAAACAGTACTTTATCATACGATTTAGCAAACATGTACAGACAATCTTGCATCTTGGCATATTCACAGGTGTTTACGTAGGTTCAGAGTAGCTTGTATTGAAGTATAGAGGTGAATGTTTGCATTTCTGCACATATATGATGAGCGATTCAGAAAAGAGGTTCTATAAGGTCAGCACACGTCTTTCTTTAGTTTCTTCCAGTTACCAGTATATATTTTGAACACCGCCAGATTTTGATTTTAGGAGGGCTTTGATATTATTCAATCGCTTGCTGATTGAGAGATTTGACTGTACTTGTTATATTAAAGTGACGTTGATGAGAGATTAATTGCTATAATTTTTCATATTTAAAAGATGGTTAGCTTGTTCTAAATCTTTAAGTTTGTTTTCAAGTTTTATTTGAAGGAGGCCGTGTAAGACTTGTACTAAGAATTATTTGATTCGCTTGTGTATTATACGAGGCCGGAAATGTGGAAATAGTTTGTAAAGTTGGAAAGACATCCACAGAGTTTATCAGGCATGGGCAGCAGAAATCAGTACATTGCGACAATGCAACAGTTTGTATCATTCAATATTCAAGACAAAATATAATAGTGTATAGAAATGTAAATCCGATTGTTATTATAAACAGCCACACTAGTCACCTGGTGTTGATACACATGTGCCTCCCATTTGATGACAGAAGCCTTAAATTATTGTTTTAGTTAATCACAACACTTCTCAAGTTGAACTGTGCAGCTGAATCGATCTCTGCTGTATGGTATCAACTGTGGAGCTGAATCGATCTCTGCTGTATGGTATCAACTGTGTAGCTGAATCGATCTCTGCTGTATGGTATCAACTGTGGAGCTGAATCGATCTCTGCTGTATGGTATCAAACTAACATTTTACATTGTATCTTTTGAATGGTTTATTACCACATCAAATAAAAGACAGTTTTAAAAGAAATGATTTATTTGTGAACATTTCAGTCTTATCTCTTGATGAATAACAGACAAATAAATTCAATGTGCTAAAGATTTGCATGTAGTGATTAAATGATAGCTGATGTTATTCTTCAAACATTCATTTGTTGGTTTAAATCCATGGCTATAACATGGCTATTTGGTTGGTTCATCAATGCACATTTAACACAATCAATATATGACATCACTGCAAAGGCATAGCATTAACTTATTTTGTGTTCAGGTGCAACTAACAGCATGCATTCAGGCCAGTGTTGTAGTGAGACAGACTGTGAAACCAAAATGTATTTTTATAACTTTCTTTCATAGTGGGCTTACAATTATAAACCACACAGTTGTGGAAATTATTTTTTATTATTTATTTATGCCTATCGTCCCTTCTAAAACATAGACCACCAACAAGATTTCTCCAACCAGGCCGGTCCTGTGCCAGACGCTCCACTTCTCTCCAGGTATAGCCCAACCTCCGAACATCAGCCTTGAGGTCCCGTAGCCAGGTCTTTCTTGGACGGCCCCGCTTCCTTTTGCCCTGTGGGTTCCAGCTGAGTGCCGACCTTGTGATGTTTTGGGTTGGTTTGTGAAGGGTGTGTCTTAGCCATCGCCAGCATCTCTGTAGTATTTCCTGTTCAATGGGCTGCTGACTTGTTCTTTCCCATAACTCCTGGTTTGTGATCACATCTGAATACCATATTCTTAATATTCTTCATAAGCAAGAGTTTATAAATGTCTGGATTCTTCTGGTGATGATTTTAGTGGTTCTCCATATTTCCGCCCCATACAGAAGTACTGGTTTAATGATTCTGAGAGATATGGTTGATGAATGCCATATGTTCTTTAGCTGGTTGAAGGCTGCTCTCGCTTTGCCAATTCTGACTCATACATCGGTGTCTGTCCCTCCTGATTTATCTATGTTACTCCCCAGGTAGGTGAAGCTCTCCACTTCTTCTAAATCTTTACCTCTCAATGTGACTTGGTTTGTGTTAGTTGCATTTATTCTAAGTTCCTTTGTCTTTGTTGGGTGTATGTTAAGGCCATTTCTTGTAGAGTTGTAACTGACTGTATCTGTCTTGTCTTGCATCTGCTGTTGTGTATGGGAGAGCAGAGCGAGGTCATCTGCAAAATCCAGGTCATCCAGTTGTCCCCAGAGAGACCACTGGATACCATTACTCCTGCCCTTGGTTGATGTTCCCATTATCCAGTCAATGGTAAGAAGAAACAGGAAAAGTGACAGCAAACAGCCCTGTCTGACACCAGTCCTAACCTGGAAAACATCAGTCAGCTGTCCTCCATGGACAACACGGCAGGTCATACCCTCGTATGAGTTCTTGATGATATTTGTGATTTTATCTGGTATGCCATAGTGCCTCATGAGATTCCAAAGAGTGGGCCTATCAATGCTATTAAAGGCCTTCATGTAGTCTACAAAATTTATTTACAACGAGGAGTTCCACTCGAGTGATTGTTTTATAATGATGCGGAAAGTTGTTATCTGGTCTATGCAGCTTCTTCCCATCCTAAAAACAGCCTGCTCGTCATGTAGGAGTGCATCCACCGCGTCATTCATTCTATCGAGAAGAATGCAGTTAAAAACTTTCCCCGGTATGGAGAGCAGTGTGATCGCCCTGTAGTTCCCACATTGACTAAGGTCACCCTTCTTTGGTAGCTTTACAAGATAGCTCTCCCCCCACTCTATCGGGGTGTTTTCTTCCTTCCAAATGCTCTGGAAAAGTGGGTAGAGGATTTCCACATTGTGAGAATACACTTGTTAATATACAGATATAACAATCAGCCTTGAAGGTCTTATATAATTAAAAGCTACTTCAAAAATACTCCAAATTATAGTTTTTGACACATTACACTTTGAAATTGATTTGGTTTTATTTTCAACGTATTTTTATTTATTTATTTATTTATCAACACACAATATCTCCCGGAGGGAATGAAAAGGGTTACAAATCAGACATTGGTAAAAGAAAAATAACTACATAAAAAGTAAGGGAACAATAAAAGGGTTAAAAAAAAGAAAACAAATTGTATACAAGGAATGTGTTACTGGCTTAGTTTATGTAGGTGCTGCTGTCTTGTATTAGTAAGACAGTAAGTCCCTTTTTAATTTTACAATTGGTGTAGTTATTATACCCTTATATGTTCAGGGCACATATTCACGATCAAACACATTGGAAGACAAAAGAAGTTCAGAACACGTATCTGGGTTTATTCTTGGAGACATGTTTAACTTTCAGTAGTCTCAGTACTGTTAGTTTTACACAATAATGTTTTCACAAAATCTATTGCTACTTTCTTCTTTTTTAAATTATTCACTTTTCCCTGGTATTTCCCATTCTTTCCTGCACCTTTCCCATCGAGAATTTCGGCAACCCTGGAATTAAAATAGAGAAAGTCAGTGTCATAGTTCCTACATGTGATATTGACACATTCATGTAACATTTCATGACAAAACTGGTTTGCTCATGAAGTCAATTGCAGCATTTGTGATGTCCAAGAAGTTGCAGGAAGCTTGTGAGAAGGTAGAGTTGGAGGTCAGGAAGCTTGTGGGATGGTAGAGTGGGAGAGGCTGGAAGCTTGTGAGAAGGTAGAGTTGGAGGTCAGGAAGCTTGTGAGAAGGTAGAGTTGGAGGTCAGGAAGCTTGTGAGAAGGTAGAGTTGGAGGTCAGGAAGCTTGTGAGAAGGTAGAGTTGGAGGTCAGGAAGCTTGTGAGAAGGTAGAGTTGGAGGTCAGGAAGCTTGTGAGAAGGTAGAGTTGGAGGTCAGGAAGCTTGTGGGATGGTAGAGTGGGAGAGGCTGGAAGGGTTTTGGGATGGTAGAGTGGGAGGTCAGGAAGGTTGTGAGATGGTAGAGTGAGAGGTCAGAAAGGTTGTAAGATGGTATAGTGGAAGGTTGTCAGATGGTGGAGTGAGAGGTCAGGAAGGTTGTGGGATGGTAGAGTGGGAGATGTTGGAAGGGTTGTGGGATGGTAGAGTGGGAGGTCAGGAAGGTTGTAAGATGGTAGAGTGAGAGGTCAGAAAGGTTGTAAGATGGTATAGTGGAAGGTTGTCAGATGGTGAAGTGAGAGGTCAGGAAGGTTGTGGGATGGTAGAGTGGGAGAGGTTGGAAGGGTTGTGGGATGGTAGAGTGGGAAGTCAGGAAGGTTGTAAGATGGTATAGTGGAAGGTTGTCAGATGGTGGAGTGAGAGGTCAGGAAGGTTGTGGGATGGTATAGTGGGGGGTTGTGGGATGGTAGAGTGGGAGGTAAGGAAGGTTGTGAGATGGCAGAGTGAGAGGTCAGAAAGGTTGTAAGATGGTATAGTGGAAGGTTGTCAGATGGTGGAGTGAGAGGTCAGGAAGGTTGTGGGATGGTATAGTGGGAGAGGTTGAAAGGGTTGTGGGATGGTAGAGTGAGAGGTCAGAAAGGTTGTGGGATTGATTTCTGGGACAGAGAACTGTACAGTACAGTACTGTACAGTTCTCAGTTACTCCAAACAAGCAGTGTTGGGTTTGTCAACTTGCAATTGGCACCAAATAAAAACTTAAATGCCAAGGGAGACATTAGTGGAATCAATGTCAGTAAATGTCTGCTGATGAATAAATTCTTTAAAAAAAATGTTTATTGTAATTGTTTTTTTTCTAACTGATAATATAGAAATTAATACAAAATAAAATATTATAAAGCACAACAAAGGATGATCAGATTCATTTCAAAAAATATCACAACTACATAAATTATAAGCAAATATTTTGCAATGCACAGTCCCTGTTGCATACTGAATGTATATAGTATATAGAATTCTGTTCTCTTATAAAGTGAGTAATATGAGTAGATTTGTTGTGTGTGAATATAACAGCACCTGTGTCTCGTAGTAGTTTTTACTACGGAGATACACATGTTTATGCGTATGACAATGAATGATATCATGTTAACAGCAAGAAAACAAATGTTTGAAGATAATTAGATAACATGTCAAAATACCAGATTTCACTTTGTGCAACAAAAAAGTCTATCTTTGACCAGTCGGCCATCTTTCACCCAATCACAAGTTTTTTGCATGTGTTTATGTATCTAGGTGTTAAGTATGTGTAAGGTTTAAAAGAATTGGTCAAAGTATGTATGAGATACTGAACACAAAATGCATGCACACATGGATATGTGTCACAAGATAACATTTATATGAAGAAATATGAGGTACATACTTAGGACCAGCTTCAGTTATGACAACCTCAGGGCCAGATATTAAAAACAGACCGGCTCCTTTTTCATTACCAACACTGACAAACACAACTCCATTCTGGAATTAACGGAATACATAATCAACATAGAAGTTTTGGCTTTGATTTTTAGTTCTGGAGTGTGTACGTGTGTGTCCAGTTTTTTTCAGTTTTTCACACACCTTCTCAGGTTTGTATCAATCAGTATTAAGATAGAGAAATTGGACAATTATTGATCTGATTTATTTTTCAGTGAACATTCAATGAATCAACAGTCAATGATGACCATGATAACATAATGTTGAAATATAATAAAAGAAAAAAAGATATTTATACAATTAACACCATCACATACACTACAATAATAATATCGTTCCTATCACTTAAATCACTACTTAGATTTCACAGTATAATTTCACATTATTGACATAGTATATATCACCTGGCACAAAACATTGTCTAAGCTTGCCACAAAGTGAATCTTTGTTAACTACTGTGAAATAATTTATTTTAGCTGGAATTAATTTTCGCTGAAAAGATTCTTTGGGTGTTTTGTTATGGATTTTATTTTCACTGATATTTGATGAGTTGAATGTAAAATATACGAAAAAAGTATATTTGCTGGATTTTATTTTCACTGAATCATTCCTTCAGCGAAAATAGCGAAAATTAATTCCAAGCGAAAATAGAGTATTTTACAGTAATAAACATTATTTGTAGCCTAACACCTCTATTGCTGAGTGTACCTTATCACATAATTAAAACATGGTTATTGAGAGTGAGAATATATGTAGTGGCTTGTGTACTTGTGATCAATATAATTTATGAACACTTGTACTAATAATCAGATACTTATACATCATATATAGGTAAACCATAGGTTTCGAATGCTGATTTTAAAACATTTCGGTAAAATTAAATCACTACAAATTCGGGCAGTCATATGAAAACTTTTCTTAAGATTTAAGTCCAAATTTGGGAGAATTTTTAAGTATATTCCACTGATGGTTTTAAGATACACCAAACTAAAAGTATATTTAAGGTAGCAATTGGGAAAAACAAGTTAAAAGACTGTGATTCTGACATTCTCTATTTATTACTATGCATTATACTATAACAACCTACATATCATCTGAAAGCTTAGATATACAGCAATACAGTAGTGCATATGCCATGTAAAGATTTATGATTTTTTGAATATTCTATTTTTGGTCTATTTAGTTTTTTAACAATTTCAGTTGCACAATGCACCAATGAATTGCATAGTACGTGCATAACCCTGTATCACATTTACTTTATGTGCCTTTGTTTTATAGCTACAACCAAGAACAAAACAGACATGCTACCAACAATCCATCATTCCATGTTACCCAGTCAGGAATTAAAAATTGCCCCAGAGTGAATTGAACACACTAGCCAAAACTACTTTTTGCTATATTACAATATAGCAGCACTTAGCAACAACAATTCTCACCTCTTGTCCAATTTCATTGGCTATTATATTCATGTATTCATTATCTCCATCTTTCCTGTGTAGACTCATGACATTGTCAGTTGAACTTTTCAGCTTCTCAGCTTCATATTTAGCAACCTCTCTCAGCAGCATGGTTTTAGACTACAGAGAATAACAATAATGTGATTTTAATTTAATATTCAGCCAAGAACACAAAATTTACATAATTATTGTGTATAAATAATTCAAATTGAGTAAATAAAATATATAATTATAATAAATTAAAAAACACAAAGAATATCAGGTATGTAGTTGGGTATTTAAGTTGGTGACAGAGTTTAAGGTGTATGTATATATCATTTTTTGTTTTCAGAGATTGATACTTGGAGTAGTAGATACAGGTGGCTAAGAGAACAAAACAGACTAATAACATTACCAGCCACTCTTCTATGGATACACAACATAGATTGAAGGTTTCACAAGAAAGAAAGAAAGAAAACTCTAGTAGCTTTTTAAGATTGAAAATCACTGACCAACTGCAAGTGAGAACAATGGCTAATTTGCATATCATTCACCCTGTGTAGATTTTACATGAGTTTGATGATAAAGTAGCTAAAACTTTCACCTACGAAACCCAATTACAGTTTTGTTAACGTTTTTTATAGTAAATTACAGAGATTTTGGCATCACCTTTTAAAACCAAATTATATTATTCATTAACTATGTACAGCCTTGGAAATCAAGCAGCGTTAGACATTTTCTGGTAATCTAAATGTGCTTCCTTAGTATGTTTGACTCATGACAGAGTTTTAAAATTTTAACAGTGTGAGGCAAACAATTTCCTAATAATAATGTAAAAATATTTTTCAGAACTATTAGCATAATAGAGTTAAAAAAAAATTAAAAAAGTTTTCTAAAACTGTACAGCATATTTGCTATATAAGCAACACATAACAAATAGGCATTAACAGTGAGACCATTAAATAAACAATATTTTGTGTACAGCAATAATTGTTATTAATCATTGATTGTAAAGTACACATTGTTTCTAATACAACAAATACAGTACTGTAATAATTCTTACTTTCTGAACTTCCCTCACCGACTTTTGGAGTTTATTTGCCATGTCAACATGTTCTTCAGGACTGCACCTGTTAAAAACACGTCATTATTATTTAAATACTGTCCAAGATGATGACTCCATCCATTTATTGTTTAAACAATATAAATACTTTACTTATCAAATGAGAAAAAAAAACATTGAAAACAATAAACATAATAGAAACAGAATAACAATAATAATGGAGAAACATTTGGTTGGGGTGGACACAGTCTTCAGTTTCTTCAATATACACATACATACTTCATAAATAATATTGGATTTGATGTTTTAAATAACACAAGGAGATGCAGGCCTGCTGTTACCATAGTTACTCAATCTTACATTAGCTGTCACTAGACTTTGTAATAATGAACACAACAAGTCTTGCTAGCATTTAAATTATCTGGCAATATTCAAAACAAATTCATGACGTCATAGTTAGAATTCAACCCTACTGAAAGCTGGGTAGTGGACCAATCAGATTGCACAGATTTGTGCATGCTTACTTTAGTGCAGTACAGAGAGCCTTTTCTGTGTTATAACATTTTCCAAGGTATTTTAAAACTCTGTTACCAGTTAAATATAACAGATTAGTTCTTTTTTTCGATTTCTCCACACCCAACAACTTTATGCACTATGAAAAAATGATAAGAACACAAAGAATGTGAATATTGGTATAAAGCTGGTTTTTATTAAGTTCATAAATTCAAGTTGGTATTCACTATAATGTATTAGCTCTATTAAAAGCACATCTCTCAGAGGTGATGCATGTTCTGTATATTTTTCATTAGAAGGACAGAGGTGGTGCATGTCCCATATTAGCTCTATTTAAAAAGCACATCCTCCACAGAGGTATATGTGCCATTTTTCATAGTGGAAAGTAGACCACAACTATGTATGCACATACTTCTAACAGAGCAATTTTTTTCCCAGTTGATCATTTTGGTTCAGATCATGAATTGTGCATGCATATGTACCAAAAAAACAACATATTCCAGCATACCTGTAGCTGACTGAGGTTTGACACATGTGTTCCACAACACATATTGACATCAATTCCTTCTATAGTTATGACACGTACTAGTCCTACATGATCATCAGGAAGACCTCTACTACGTATCTGTATGAATATAGCAATATTATTAATGGTAATATACTGTGAAAATGATGTTTAAGATATTGTTCATTTTATAGAGTTTATTTTAATTTTAAGATATTGTTCCTTTTACAAAGGTATATGTTTATTTTTAGATATTGTTCATTTTTCAGAGGTGTGTTCATATTATGACATTGTTTGCTTGATAGTTTTGTTATTTTAAAGTGTTCAATAACTAAACAGACACTGTTGAACTGTGTTCAGATTACAGGCATATCCTTTAATAAAACCAACATGGTTGCAAGTTTGTTATTATAAATTAAATCACAAGAGAAACCAGTGTGTGATCATTAACTCATCATGTGTGTGAGATCATAGCAAACAAACTTTGAATAAAATTGACCAAGGTTTGCCTGAGAAAAGAATGATGACATGTTTCAAATGTGGAGATTTGAGTTTTTATTAGCCGACAGTCACTAAATGTTATTCAAGTCTAAGAAAAACTGAACAATATAAGTCAGTAAAGTATTTACTTTTTTGTGTACTATCTTGAGTTGCCTACATATGGATTACAATGAAACTGGCAATATAATAAAACAAATGAAAAGATAATTCTATACATAATAAAGAAAAAGACCCCCTAACTTACTGATAGTGCTGTTGAAGTCTTATTACTAACTGTACTCTTTGTTGAGTTGGTAAAATAACAGTGTTCACAGCAAAAACTACAAATACATCCATTACAAGCCACGTCTATACTTTATAAAATTTACAGTTATGCAAAAAATATTATGTGAATCAGAATCATAGTATTAGTAATTTCCAGATGTCGATGCAAACCACACCAAAACTTTTAACTACTGTAAGATACTTTATTTTCACTTGGAATTATTTTTTGCTATTTTCGCTGCAGGAGTGATACTGTGAAAATAAAATCCAAGGAATATACCTTTTTTTCTATATTTCACATTCATCTAGTCAAAAATCAGTGCAAATAAATTCCAAACAAAACACCAAAAAAGTATTTTCAGGGAAAATTAATTCCAGCTAAAATAAAGTATTTTACAGTATGTAGCAACATTGTAATACAAACCATGGTAAATATTTACATTTGCAAGTTCGTCATCCTCTGGTTGGTAGTACTTAGGTGTTACGGGTACACATTTCAAGATGGCGTCATTGCATGCCTTCTCAATTGCTTCTATCTGTTCAGAAGTCACTTTAGGAGTGTCAAGTTCAATTAAACACACATCTTTACTAAACATCCTACAAACAAAAAATTAATGTTTACAAATTTCAGAATGTTGTGTCCTGGAAAAGTGGGAGTCACCTACACCTGCTAATCCAAGACATCTAAAAAACTGAAATTGCTACTTTCAGGTAACTGCATCAATGAATAACATGACTACATTAGTCTTTATATTAGGATACTCGTGCCACAAACATAACTCCATTTTGACAATTTACATAACATAGTTAAAGTATGGTTACCTTGAAATTCTTGAATATTGTTCCCTTTGTATTTTTTTCATGGACAAAACCCAATCATGTCAAAAAATGAAAAGTTTTGATAAAACAAAAAATACCAAAATGAACAGATGATTTGTTAGTTTAGTAGTAATATGATTTCAGAGTGATCAATTACAACTTTTATAACTGAAAATTGAAAACTAAATTTAAATTGCAAGATACATTTTCACAACATGTTGAAATTAAATATTACAGACATTGGAGAACTGTTGCTCTGCTGTGATAATTGTTGATTAACAGACTGATTTCAATTGATGAGCTATCAAGATATCAGGCTGGTAGTTTTGAATAAGAAGTCATTAGTAACATTTTTTGGTAAAAATAGAGAATTGTGGGATATTATCAAAGAATGAAACAATCTGATAGAGGTCAACCAAGGTACTTACTTCCCTAGGATAAATAAATAATGTAAAACTGGGATATGCTCCATGAGAAGGAAATACTATTTATAATATTTATGAATAATGAAGGTGAAACTCGGGTATTTCTCGCACCAAGTCCACCGCGAGATATTTCGTTTTACGCACAATGGAGGACGTGGATAACCGGACAT